ACGGCAAATAAGGAGCCCCTTGTTGCTGCTTGCTGCGGTTGCGGCTGCTCACACTAGTCAAAGTAGGATCTATGTTAGAATAAGGGTGTGAAGGTATACATAGCTGGGCAGTGTTATCAACGGTCGTCAACAGTGCCTTTAGAAGTTGAAATTTATTCGATATATAGTGTCTGTTCCTGAAAATTATTTAGATAAGATAGAAAAAGTTGAAAGATAACTTACAAAAAGGCTCGGAGTTTAAAAAAAATCTGAAAATTAAAGATGCCCAGGCTGGTTGAAAGAAGGAAATTTGAGCATAGACAAGTAATCATGATGACCACATGCCCGATCATACAAGAATTTAAATGAATATAAAAAGACCGATATCACAGAACAAGTGGTCACAAAAGAAGTCACAGATCAAGAGGTCACAGAGGAAGAGCTCACAGACCGACATCACAGATGTGGAATTTTTTTTACATAATTTCATAGATGTACAACATATAAATGAATAATATAATAACTGTGTATTAAAATATGCTATTCGGACCCTTCGAGAAATTTAGAGTGAGAGAGGAAGCAGAACAGCCGGGGGAGTGACTCCACAGAGGGAGACGCCATATTGAATTTAATGTGTGAACACTGGACTGAATTGTGCAATTTAATCAAGCGTTCTCGGTCAGTTGGTGTATATTGGCCTCAGTTCGTAATTTAAAAATTGCTGACACGTTCCTGCTGAAGAATTGGGATAAATAATGTGGAAGACCCTTACAATTCGGTAACAAAGACAAAAATAGAGGACTCCAGTCCTTCCCAGCAACACACCTTAACTAAGTGACGCTTAACCATAATGCACAGTAGTTTTTGCATTGGCCATCGTAAATCCTAGCTGTAGAGGTAGCGTTAGAGTGTGTTTCCATAAAATAATTATGATCCAGTAATTAAATGGTAGGTGGTAATACAAATTTCCTTTCTAATAACACTAATAATGTATGTATAATAATTATATTCTGTGTACCCAGCAAGCCTAAGCATATGCAATCCACAACTTTAATTTACCAGAGTAGCTGGTTTTAATATTGTAATTACTAATTTAATGTCAGGTCTAGCTTTTTGTGAGTGGTGATGAAGTGGGCATCGAGGGAGTCACAGTCGTGCGACCTACTGTGAATTAAGTCCCACTTATCTCACCCAAATTACTTGCCTGTAATAATTCAGGTAATACCCTGTGAACCTCATGCAGGTAATTTACTCACATAATAATAATAATAATTCACAAAAACAGAACAAGAGGTCACAGAACAGTAGGTCACAGAGAGAGGCCACAGAACAAGAGGTCATAGTTGTAAACAGGAAAACCGTTGAAAGGATACCAAAAGTTTTCTTTAGAGATAAAATAACGGGATGAGATAACATAGTGAATTAGTAGCTTCTACAGTCCTGTGTTTTATTGGTTTGTTTAATAAATAAAAAAAGAGAAGAAATAAAATAGTATATTATTTAACTTAACGTTTTCAGCATCATTCAGTGGATTCGTTTTGGCTTTCCAGCAGAACAATCAGTAATTACTGCAAAATTCTGGCTTGCTCTGAAGATTCTGAAATATATTATATATATATATATTATATATATATAATATATATATATATATATTATATATATATTATATATATAATATATATTATATATATATTATATAATATATATATATATATATATATATTTATATATATATATATATATATATTTGTCATTTGATAGAAAGGTAAAGCTCTGTAATCTTTCTTTACCTTGAGAATTTCTGGAATATACTGTAAACTGTTTCAAAACAGAGAAGGTGCGCTCAAGAGTAGCAAGGGAGAGGAAAGTTTGGGAGGTTAGGAAGGGACGACTAGCATTACGCTTTACTTCCCTCACTCAGATCAGCAAGAGGAATTCTGCTTACTGATGATGGATTATTATAATTAAAACTAAGCGCTAAACCACCAGGGTCATACAGAGCTGCAGTGATGAAGGAAAATATTACTGATGGTGAATTCTCAGCATCAGAATGTTTATCACAATATGCTAAAATGATCTCAGATCTATTTACGTGGATTTGGGGAAAAGTTGGTTAATATAATTTATATTAATAGTCATCAGGGCTGCGGTTCGTACGTTGGTTTGCGTACTGCCAGCAGTAACATCCTAGTTGATCAGGTCCTGATCCACCTCGTCATGGACCGGGTCGCGGGGGCGTTGACCCTCGGAACACCGTCCACGTAGATTCCAGGTATACTTGGGGCAGCGGCATTGATATCGGTTTTAACCATCAGGAAGATGGAAGATGTTTTATTGCAGATTCAGTCTTGCGTAGTGACAGTATCAGGCAGTATTGCCGTCTTGCAAGACTCCCGAGTCTGGACACCTGTTACACTAGGATCAAGTTCACCCAGCCATAAATAAAAAGCAAGTTAATATATACAACTACATAATACATTAATGTTGTACGTAGGAATTGTTATAATGTTAACGCTTTCATTGTTTCTTTTAATACACGTGACTGGTTAACTCTTAGTGGTTTAAGGGATCGTCGCCCTGGCTCACCGGGTCTCACACCAGGCCTATAATGGACTGCATATGGATGATCGAGTCTCCACCAGTCCTCGTGATGAATGAGCCACACGGGTCTAGCACGTCGCATAAAGAAAAATATCTTGACATACAAGATGGACTGTGTGTGTGTGTGTGTGTGTGTGTGTGTGTGTGTGTGTGTGTGTGTGTGTGTGTGGTGAGTTACAGCAAGTCATCAGTAAAACAAACAAGTAATTAAGTAGCGAGATAAGATAGTGGTAGATAGCTGAAGCGTCGCCTACTTGGTAAGTAAAAGTGATGATACTTTTGACTTGTAGTGCTACTTGGTAAGTAGCAATGATGATACTCATGCCTTGTGGCGCTACTTTCCTTCAACGTAACCTAGCACAACTAGAGGAGGCCTCAACACCGGCAACTAGAACCTAGGGAATCCTTAACTTTATCAGCTATCGCACGTTCACCAGCAGCAACAGTAGCAGCACCCCCATCAACAGCACCAGCAACAACAGCAGCAGTAGTAACAGCATCAGCAATAACTCTAACAACAGCAGTAACGGCACCAATAACAATAGCACCAGCAATAACATCGCTAGCAACAGGACCATCAACAAAGTAGTAGCAACAGCAACATTAACAGCAACAGACCCAGTGCTGCAAAAATTAACATAAAACAATTTTAAAAAACGGGCACCACTTGAAACCCCCCCCCCCCCCTTGGCCTTTTACGGGGGGGGGAGGGCAAAAGTGCTCAGCCCCCAACCAGAAATTCCCTTGGGAAGGTAAATTACTGGGGGGAAGCATCGATAAAATAATTTTTATGTGTTTGGTTCGCATTTTCAAAAAATTGGGGGTTTTTAAAGTTCATATACAATTCGGGAAACCTTCCTCTGGCGCCGTTTGTCCCCCATCCTCGTGCATCTGTGAAGTTGTAGAAAGGTGGGTACCAAGGGACTTTTATCAAAGATATGAGACTGCACTTTTTTAAAGGCTCGTGCTGAAAATTTTCTTATCAAAAACTCGCCCTTGAACCCCTTTTTATGAAAGATGGGGGGTGAAACCCCCCAACATTAATTCTCCAAATGTGGTGTTCCGAAATATAATTCTGTGTCGGACTGAAAAAAAACACGGGTTTGGGAAAAGCGTCTTTATAAATAAAAGATACCCAGGTGAAATGATAATGTTATCAGTACTAACAAGTGGATAAATAAACCCACATGCACAACTTTTTGGGGGTTTCTTTTTTCCCGGGGACTTTTCCCCCAAAATTGTAGGGTTCTTCGTCGAAGTAGAGTAAATAAAATTGGGGGGACTCCAAACCCAGAGGGAGAGAAGATGCGTGATTAGTGCTTTGGGCCCCCTGGAAGGAAAAGTTTGGAGGGGGGCAGTCCACGTTTTGTAAAGCGTCCAGCTTCAAGATGTTCTCAAAACCCCATCCCCACTAATGATGATGATTTAATAATAAAAATAATAATAAAAATTTAGTAATAAAAAATAAATACAGCAGTTTTTTAGAAGAAAAAATAATTTTTTTTTGGGGGTATATAATGAACCCCAATGTTGTATTGCTGGGAAAAAATTTTCTCCGGAGTCAAAATTTGATTGTCATTACTCAGGTCCTTATTCCCTCGGCCCTTATTACTCAGGTTCATTATCAGGTCCCATTACTCAGGTCTGGGCCTTTTTTTGTAGACCACTTTAATAGGATGTATTTTTTTCACTTTCCCTTTGCCCACAGATTTGCATTTTTCTTACCTCCCCTTGCCTTCCGGCCCCCCTTTAACCCCCCCCCCTTTATTAGGGGGATTCTGGTGTTTTATTTTTCGTCCACCCCCCCTTCCCCCCCTCCCCCCGTTTTACCTTTTTGTCTCCCCCCCTCTCAACTCTCCCACCCCCATTCTTGACTTAGAATCTGCGAAACAGTTTATTCCGGGCTTTCTTTGC